CGTCACAATCATCACAATGTCCACCGCAATCGTCTGCCACACTGCGGCAGAGGCCACACACGCACGCACGCTGCCACGTCAGCAGGGCACGCTCGGGCTGCCCCGGCCGCTCCCATGTGCTGCAACCTCTGCTGCTGCAGACGCAGGTGCTGCACCTGCGTCTGCTGCAGCAAAACGTCCACGCTGCACACGCACTCCACCCACCCCCCTCGGCTGCCGCCGCCAGCCAGCCGCCTGCAGGCGCTGCCGGCACGCCAGGCAGCGGGCGGCCTCCCCGGCAGGCGGTCGCGGCAGGCGGCAGGCGCGGTGGCCGACCAGCGCGGCCCACACCTGCGTAGCCGTAAAGTCTGAGATCATGCTGAGGGCGTAGAGCATGATGGGGGTGGCGTGGGCCCACATGACGTACCTGCGCAGGTGGGGGCTAAGGGGTTTAGGGTTGAGGGTTGGGGAGTGGAAGAAAAGGGAGCAGGGAGCGGGGGCAGGACGGCGCACGCAGCAGTGCGGCGCACACAGCGGAGGGCAGCCCTCGGCGATGACCAGCACTCGGCTGGCGGCGCACGCAGCTGAGTGCTGGCCGCCGCCGGTGCACAGGTTGGCTGCCGCGGCGCCCGGCGCGCCCCCCGCCAGCCATTGGCCCGCCTCCCCGGCCCGCCTCCCCCCTCTGCAAGCGCCTGCCACAGCCACGTGCAGCGCAGCACGGCCGCCACAGCCACAGCGCCACACACACACGCGCGCGCGTGCGTCCCCGCCGCCCGCACCTCAGCAGCGAGATGGGCCTGCCGGTGGCCGTCACGTAGATGGGCGCCGACTGCTTCCAGGCCAGGAACTCGTACACGAAGGCCACCCCCGAGATGAAGACGGCCAGGAAGCAGAGCTGGCGCTTGACGGGGCGCCGCTCAAAGGCCAGCGCCAGCAGGTTGAGCAGCACGGCGGTGGCAAAGGCCACCATGGGCCACATGTATAGCGTGGGAGGCACCTGCGGCCCTCATCGGGAGGCGGGCGTTGGTTATGGTCGATGCGGCGGCCCTCCTGCTGCCCTTCAGCCGCGGCCCTCATCGGGAGGCGGGTTGGGTGCGGTCGATGCGGCGGCCCTCCTGCTGCCCTTCAGCCGGTGGCTAGCTGCCAGCGGCAGGCTGGGGCCTGAGAAGTGCAGCGCGCCGCGCCGCACGCGCGGGCGACGGGCGGCGGCACTGCAGCGGCGGGCGCGGGCGCTGCGGCGGCGGCCGGCCGCACCTGCTCGTAAAAGTCGCGGGCGGCGGCATAGTCGGGATGGCCGCACAGGTACAGGATCCAAAAGGCATAGGACAGGGCGCTGATGCTGCAGGCGCGGGGAGGGCGAACGAGCAAAATTGCTGGGGGGTCGGGCAGGGGCGGCGGCGCTCGGGCCGAGCGGCGGCGGCCACACAGCCACCAGGCGGGGCTCCTGTCTGCATTTTTACCTGACGTATGTCGCGGCTCGGCTAAAGTGCAGCCTCTTGTCCGGCATCGCCTCCTCCACGGTGTCATCCATGCACTGTGGCGCGCTCGGGGCCGCCTCAGCGGGCGGCTGCGCCTTGGAGGCGGGCATGAGGTCCCGGCCGCCGGCAACTCCCGAAGCGGGCCACCGCCGCTATTTCACGGCGGCCATGGTGGTTTTCCCAGGCCACACGAGTCCTAATACTCGCAGCAAGCGTTGCGGGTCATGAATGTGTGCGTGATAGCGCTGCTGGGGTCAACATTTGTGTGAGTGCCAGCTTGGAAAAGTACACTGTGGCTCCCTTGTGGCTACAGCCGCCACTAAGGGTTCTTGGATCCCTCTTGCATGCCTGCATGCAGGTAGCTACATTGGGCGACTTCCAAGGTGTGGTGGGGCTGGCAGCGCACAGTCGCAAATGTCAGCCACCGCCTACCGGCAGCAAACCAAACAGACACACACACCAGTGCACAGCACCCGCCATCCAGGCATGCAAGCACTCTGTGCATGGTGCAACAGCTTTGTAGCACAGCCTGCAGACCCGCACAGGGGCTAGAGCTTTGTGCGGTAGGCGGCCACTAGAGCGGTGCGCTGTAGAGTCGTCGAGAGCCCAACAGCGCCAACAGCCCAACAGCTCCAAAACACCACTATGTTTCAGTCTATTTTTGCAGTAGCGGGTGAGTGGGCAGCTACACGACGCACCCCCGTGGTGCCCAGCCGCTGGCGGCGCCTAGCTGGCGGCGGCCGCCTGCATGCGCACTTCAAATGGCTTGCCAAGCGCCCGGCCTACTTCACCGTTTGCTGCCGCCTTTCCCGCGAGTCTTCAGGTCACGCATCTCGACCATCTCAGCTGGACTTTCAGAAGTCTTGCCCGCGCTTCTCCTCGAAGCAGGAGACTCCAGAAACCCTCCAGAAGCGCTGCACAGCGCTGCGCAGCCGCCGGAAGCCGGTCACTTGAGAGCGCGCGGCGCAACCCTCACCTGACCGAAACCGCGCCACCATGTGAGTCCCCGTCGCCGCAGGCAGGCTCGAGGCGCCTGCGGCGGCGGCGCCAGGCTGCCCTGCCGCCGTCTGGTGGGCGCTGGCAGGCGGCCGCGCCGCCGCGCCGGCACTCTGCTCCCAGCCCTCCTCCTCCTGCTCCTGTGTGCGCAGGCCGGCCACGGTCCGCACCCGCGGCGTCCTCAAGGCGTCCACCAACCGCGTGCGCACCAGGTGGGGTCCCGCCGGCAGCCCCGGCGCGCCTCGTGCCGCCTCCTCGACGCCGCACGGCGCCCCGTGCTCACCGCCGCCTCCTCCCGCCCTCCCGCCTGCAGCACCGCGCTGCAGGGAAACTCGATGTGGGAGAACGTGATCGGCATCACGGAGCAGCAGGCGGGCACCAACACGGGTGTCGAGGCCCTCATCAACGCACCCACCATCGGCGGCGGGCGCAAGGCCACGCAGGCGCGGCGCCAGGCGGCGGCGGAGGCCGTCATGGCCACCGGCGGCTTCGACACCTCCATCACCAACTATCAGTCGCTCCTGGCCATCGCCAAGCAGCAGGGCGCGGTGGGGCAGGGCTCCCGCGGTGCCTGCAAGGTCTGCGGCCAGACGGGGCACCTGACAAAGCAGTGCCGCAACGCGGTGGCCGCGGGCGGCGGCGGCGGCGGCGAGGAGGAGGGCGGCGGCGCGCCCGTGGCGGCGCTGCCGGAGCCGGGCAGCGACGGCGGGGACAGCCTGGACTTCAGCGACAGCAGCGACGAGGAGCTGCGCAGGTGCGCCTCGGGGCGATGGTCGGGTGTCGCTGGCGGGGTTGTTTGCGCTGCGTCTTCTGTGGGTGGGGCGTGGCATGGCAGGGCTCGTGCCCGTGGGGGGCTACAGGTGAGATTAATGGGCAGAGCGGCAGCTCGCCGGGTTGCGTGCCACGCAGCAGCGCATGCGGCTCGCCCGTGCTGCCGCCCAACCCGCTGTCGCCGCATGGCTGCGCAGGAAGAAGCGGAAGAAGGAAAAGCGGCGCAAGGAGGAGCGCAAGGAGAAGAAGCGGCGCAAGGAGAAGCGGCACAAGAAGGAGAAGAGGAGCAAGAAGGAGAAGAAGGAGAAGAAGCGGCGGCACAGCTCGTCGGGCAGCAGCAGCAGCAGCGAATCCGACTGAGGGCTCTGCTGCGAGCTGCAGCTGGCTAGGGCACTTGTGGACTTTACTGTGGTGCATAGCCAGCGAGCTGCAGCTGGCTGTACATGCACGAGCTCCTGGCTGCTCGTGGCTCGGCACCGGCTGCTGCTGCTGAAGCGGCCACCTGATGCCAGTGGCAATGCCGGTGCCACCGGGGCGCTTGCCCCCTCGTTGTGTTTGATGCTCACTTCTCCTTGCTCCCATCCTCTGCTGCTTCCTGTTCTTGCTGCCACCTGACCAAGTCTCTCCCTCCAGCTGTAAGCCACATGTTTGTGAACCACAATTAAACAGAAGGTGCGAGGCGGTTGTTAGCTGCTGCTGGTGCCGGCCGGTAATGCACCACCGTCCGGCCCCTCACTGCGTGCTGTTGAAGAACTGGTATACCAGTACGTGGCGGTACTCCTCCCCAGGGCGCAGTACCACTGCAGCGGTGGTGGTGGTGGTGACAAGGCAGGGCGCCGTCAGCAAGCATGCACACAGCAACGCCTGTGGCTTGCTTCTCTCGGGGCCCAACAGCCCGCCATCCTGCCGAGCAGCTCCACAGAGCAGCCAGCCGCACCTGAGGGGAAGTTGGGCTGGTTGATGGCGTTGGGGAAGCCCTGCGTCTCCAGGCACAGCCCCGCGTGCTTGTTGTAGGTGGCGCCGCCCTTGCCCCGCAGGCTGCCATCTGCGACACAGGGGCGGGGCGTGGGGGCATGCGCGGGCGTGGGTGGGTGGGAGGGAGGGAGGACGGCTCCCCTAGGCGCTGCACCCGCAGCAGCGGCGCAGCAGCGGCGCATGCTCCCCGCCCTGCATCCTTGGTGGACCTACCTCTGCCCTCACCCCGCCACCGCACTTTCCTCCCCCACCTAGAGAGTTGCCCGAGTAGAACTGCACCCCCGGCGTCGTGGTGAGCACGTGCATGCCCCGCCCCGACTCAGGATCCACGAGGGTCGCCGCCAGCTGGGGCCTGCAGGCAGGGCAAGGGCGAGGGTGGAGCTGCGCGGAGCGGCGACTGTCGGTGGTAGCGGCAGCGGGGCGGGCCAGCAAACAGAGGCAGGGAGGAGGCGTGTGTGGGTGCCCAGCCGGGCTTGGGCAGCCAGCAGCCGGCGCCGGGAGCCGGGCAGCAGGCCTCGCACGCGTCTGAGGCCATGCCACCGTGGCACTTGTCCCTGGCATCCGGCCCCAGCCCAAACAGCACATAGTTGTGATCGTAGCCGCCAGGGGCGGGGCCTGCGGGGCAAGGGCCGGGCCGGGGCGGGCAGCGCAGCAGCGCGGCGGGCGGTCGACGGGAGGACGGTGCTGCTGTGGGCGCCTGGACGGGACGGCATGGAGGGCCGCTGCTGGGGTTTCGGGTGTTCAGGCGTGGGGGCAGGGTGTGCTGGAGGCGGTAGCGGGGCCGGCCAGCCACGAAACAACATAGCCAGTTGCCGCCCTGCCAACCCCCCCCACCACCACACCACCGCCTCCTCCGGGCACCCCGCCCCCCACCCCCCACCCCCCCACACACACACCTGGCACATCCTCGATCCGCTCCCCCACCGTGTGCGGCGAGGTGAAGTCAAAGGGCGTGCCCCGCACAGGGGCAATGTCCCCGGTGGGGATGGACACATCGTCCACCTGTTCAACAAGCAGGGTACAGGCAGAGGGGCAAGGCAGGGCAAGGCAGGGTAAGGCAGGGCACAGCAGGTCGGCAGCCGGGAGTTCGCCGCCCCGGCCGCCGGCGCAATACGCGAGCCTGTGGCGGGCCGCTGCAGCTGCTGCAGCCCGACTGGCGGGCATCCCCACACCCGCAGCCCGCCCCACAGCCATACCATCCATCGAACCGCCG